TTGTTTGGCAAGACTATTTAGTTGCAAAAGTATTAAAAAAAAATAAATAAATAAAAAATAAAAAAAAGTAAAAATGATAATCTGCTAAAATTTAAATTCAAGGAAAAGCACTTTTAACAGCAAAGTAATTCAGTCAGAAGTAGGTGGCATGATCCCTAAAACTGAATTCTGCAACACAATATGCAGCATCACTAAGACCCTGCTTTTATAAGCCTTTCTCAAACATCTCAGTATATGGTTTATAGATAATGCAAGGACTTTCCTTCTGACCTGTTTTGCAAAATGAATTATAGAAAGGTCCTCTCTCTCATACACATATAAACACACACACATACACACACACCTTCACACTTTGATGATAATGAATATGGTACTGTATTAAGACCTAGACTAAGTTCATATCCAATTACCAATGTTCTTAGTTATCTTATTTTCTTACTGATAAATGAAGTAGCGTCTATTTCCTACTAGCATGCTATATGATTAAAATACGTCATACCTAATCTCTAATCTTTCATAGCTCTGATCATAAGGAAATTGTCCACCATCCTACAATGGACAGGCAAAAAACAAAAATGTTTCAGCAAAAACGACAACCAAAAAGAAACACCTTTAATTCAAACAGTTGCTAAAGAAAAAAACAACTACTAACAGTAATTCCACTAGTAAGAAAGAATAATGCATAATGGAATCAGGAACTGGCATTATTTCAGCAAAACACCAGTTTATGATTAGCAATATAACTTTACTACAATTCTACTGTATAAACTGCCTATCACAAAGACAAATTTCTTCCACTTCAAGCCATCAACAAGTCACTGACTCAAAACTAGTGACCTCAGTGTCTCTTTTCTCCCTTCCTCATTTAAAACATGCTATAATGCTAATTGTTCTTTCTCTCTCCACAGCTTCAAAATCTTTCAGTCCTTTAGTCAAAGCCCTCAGTTTTGGCCACCTTGTATTATGATTAACGAAGAATTCATCGCTTCATGTTACTAGACACTTTCATTCAGTTCAAAATAAAAAAATTGCATTAATTTTCATCACCTGCCACTATGATCGTCCACTACTCTTTATTTTAAACTAGAGACCCAGTGCATGAAATTCATGCACTGGGAGGGTGCCTAGCGGCTGCTGGCCAGGTACTCCCTTCCTTCCCCCAGACACTTGCTGTTGCAGGGGCCTCCCTCCCTTCCCTCGGCTGGCCCTGCCCCTTGGTCGAACTCCAAGACAACCTGCTGGTCAAGGGGACAATTTGCATACTATGCTTTTATTATACAGGGTAAGCTGAACTACTCTGGCTAGTTATAAAAAAAATAATGACAACTAATCTACACAATATTATAACACTAATCTAAATTAATGTCCATATAATACCTAGAATAAAACTTACCAACACTTTAGTCCTTCTCAAAATAACTAGGAGTATAAGCTAGCAGGTCAGGTAAACAAGCCACAAAACAAAGAGCGCACAGGATGGCCCACTTAATGCAATGACAATTTTAAATAAATTTTTATACTTAAACAAGTACTATAGAGTGTAATAGTGGCACAGATGTATAAAAAAAAGACTTCAAGGAAGTCTTGAAAATGGCTACTATGGGACCTTTTTCATCTGTCCAAGTATACTGGTAGAAAAGGTTGAGAGAGTATTGTTTTAAGTGACTTTCCCTGGAAACATAACTATTACTCTCATATTCCAATCTGTTGTGCAAAACTCTGGAGATCAGCATTTCTTTCCTATGATTTTCATAAGAGAAAAATACTCTATAGGAGTAACCACTCTGACCAAAATATATATAGCAGCATCAGCTACATGTTATATCAACAGGAGAAATGAGTCCTGGTAAAACAAATTACATTCTTCCACAGTCCCATGAGTGATGAGGAAAGACTATCTTTAAAAGAAACTAGTAATATGCCCCTCAAGAATATCTGCCTTTTAACTTGGCATATTCTAAAGCTAGAAATGTGTTTTGGTAAAGAGGTGACATGATGCCTAATAAAGGGTACAGAATTTCAAGTGCAAAGAAGAGTTTTGGTCTCAACTCAGCCACTTCCTAGTCTCTAAAATGTACAAAATTATAAGGTCAATGGATCTAAAAGCTTTGTAAACAACAAAGCATTATTAAAGTGTTATTTATCATTTACCTAGCTTTCAGGCTATATAAACATGGAATACTGACCAAAAAACTAGCTTTTCTTACCAGCCATCTTCAAAATCTCAACATGGTTGGCAAGAATGTTCTTCTTTACTACTACTGTTCAATAAATCTAAAAACTATTGCTAATAATCTAAAGATGCAAAATTTTATGAAAAATCCACATTCTTTAGACAGTTCTTCCATTTATTTACATTTTAAAAGGGGGAAAGGAAGAATACTTTATAACAACCTAACAAGTGGGCCAAAAGTTATACTGAAGTTAAACCTAACAAGTGACAAATCAAAAATGAAGAGATACATATACAAAAGTGTAAAAATCTAAAATTAATAGTCTTCCATTGCCAAAATCAACAACACTGAACAAGTCCAAGAATAATTTGTTAGATGCATGTGAGAACTGTTTGACAATTTCATGTCATCACTTGCGTTATAAAGGACTGGGATCTTACTACAATTATAAACACTTCTCGCCATACAAACAGAAGGTAGAAATGAAGTAATTAATCGAAAACCAAACATGATGAATTTAACAAGACAGTATTTTAAAGTTATAGTAAATCCCATGCTAGTTAAATTTGATCTTATAAAGACATCTCAAAAATTACTTAAGCATTAGTCTTTATTCTTTAAAAAAAAATTTTTTAAAGGAAAATAATAAAAAGCAACCAAACGAAAATTAATATTGCTATTAATGCTTTAAAAATATCTAAGGTGAGTGCCCTTATCATTTTCATGCAGAAGAAAAATTCTCAGAAGCATCCTTATATCATTCTCTAGTTCTTCTTCTCAGTATCAAATTAATTTGTTTAGAAAAGTATTATAAACCTGGAAAAAATACTAGACTTTCTTAAATTAAACTCAAGAGAATGAAAATGTGAAATTGTCCACAATGAAAATAGAAATGAAATAAAATCAGTAGAAAAAAGAGGTATTATAAATGATACCACAGAAATACGAAGATTGTAAGAGACTACGGTAAACAATTATACAACAACAAACTGGGCGATGTAGTAGAAATAAATAAATTCCTAGAAACATAGGACCAAGATTGAGTCATGAAGAAAACAGAAAATCTGAATAGGCAGATTACTATTAAGGAGATTAAATAGGTAATAAAAAACCTCCCAACAAAAGTCCAGTACCAGAATGGTAATGTGTAGGGAGTCCTACGCTTGGGGAGAATATCACTGCATTCACAATGCCTTCTTCCACTCCCGTCTTTCTCCCAAAATGTTTATGCAAGTTAAAACTTGCTTTCACCAAAAACCAGCGATGAACAAGACATCCAAAAGAATAAATGTTCAGAGGAGAAAGTGGAAGGAGCAAGACATTGTTGTTAATTGTGCTTGGTAACCAACTTTCTTCCTTGTATCTATTTAAAAATTATAGTAATCTTGAACAATTCACTTCTCTCCAGGACTTGCTTTCCTCATCTGCAAGATGAAAGCATGGACTAGAGAGAGAGTCCCTAAGATTCCTTTCAAGGCTGACAATCATTCAAAGAAGAATTAAACTCAAAGGTCAGCATTACCCTGATATCAAAACTAGACAAAGATATCACAAGGAAAAACCCTATGTCAGATACAGGGTTAATATACAAAATAAATAAAGTGCACATACAATTCATTAGAAAAAAAAATCTGATTAAAAAATGGAAGAGGATCTAAATAAAAATTTTTCCAAAGAAAACAGATAGTCAACAGGAACATGAAAAGATGCCCACATCGCTAAATTCTCAGGCAGTAACACTCTATTCTTTTCTGTTCACTCTATAGACCCAAAGCAAAGATGAGGCTTGCCCAAGTTTCTAGTAAATTCAGGAGGGCTTCTGTTGTCAAGCCAGGTTAAGTACAGTCCAAAGAGCATTCTTTGCAATTAGTCAAGCTCCATTATAAGGCATTACTCATATCAATTCAGTTCTGATCTAAGACAGACAGATGTTTTGTTCTTTCTTCTCAAGCATCAGTGTGTTGTGAGGGAAGGAGAGAAGGAGGAAAGGAGAAAGAAGATCTGGGCCCTAAAAAAAGACTACTTTCTCCCTTATGTAAAGTGATATTTCCTCTTCAGGATAGTCTACAATCAAGTAGGTTATGCTTCTGGAGAAAAAATGGTAACCAGCAGTTTGCTAATTAAATGAGAGTTATATTAATGCACTCCGAACCATTCTGGACATTGGCTACCAGCTACTCGACACTACTTTGCGGCGGAAACTCAATTCCCCGTAATCACTAATAAACTGCAATCTCCCCTGAGAGGGGACATCCGAGTGATATGCTAGAATTCCGATGTCCCCTGAGAGGGGACAGCGCAGTGCAAAGGGTTAAGAGCGCCGTTTTATAACCGAGTTAGCAACAAGGATGCCGAATAAAGTCTGAGAAGTTAAGGTCAACTTTAATTCTGTGCTTCTATTCAATTTCTATATCCTACTTCAACCCTCTAACCCAGGGGTTGGGAACCTGCCAAGAGCTATTTGAATATTTGTGACATCATTCACAGGCCACATACAATTATCAACTTAAAAACTGACCTGCTATATTTGGTTAATCTAACTAACTCACCCCTCATGCTTTGGCAGGGCTTGACCAAATGATTTTCTCGGGCCTTATATGGCCCACTGCCCAGATGTTCCCCACCCCTGCTAACCCCTCCAAAGGCCACATACCTCTTCACCTTTTGACTTTTCCTGAATTCACTGATAATTTTTTTTCTGAATTCATCAATAATTTTTTTTTTTAAATTAAGGACTAACATTTCCAAACTCCATTAGAGGAAAACTAAAAAAAATCAACTTGTGATCCTTCCAGAATTTATGCCAGAAGTATTAGGATAACTTACCTCAAATTTCTTCACCTTTTCCATTGTTATCAAGCGCCTTGCTGTGTGACTAGAAAGCTTCTGCTCACAGTTGCTAATAAGTTTCAGGCAAGGATGCCAGGGTACCATCTCTTCAGTGTATCTGAAGGAGGAACAGTTGATGGTTACAAACACTTCACATGTACACCCATACAGGATAGTCACTGGGGTTACCCAGTGTGTGTGAGAGCCCCTTCCACTACAGCGATGTGGTACCATTTTATTTCATATTCACTGCTCATATAACCCATAAACAATCTAGGAATTTTAATATTACCACATCTGAGAAAAGTAGTTTGTTTTACCTGTAGAATGGGAATAAGAGAATACAAATATGTTTTATTAAAGAGTTCCAAGAAATTAAACCACAAAAATACAAGACAATAACTACTCTACCCTAAAGGATCCAACAAGAACACCTAAAACAGACAAATACATCGACAACTTGACATTCATGAGACTGCTTCATCAGGAGATTTATAATTTCCTGAAGTATAAGGTCCTCTACGGCATAACTTTCCCTAAAAAATTTTGCCCTTACAGAATTTTAATGGCATTCTGGGACCTCCATGAACTTTGTAAAAATGTCAGGCTGAAGTTATTTATAAGATAATTCAAATAGGCTATCACTAAACACTAGCTTAACCATGAAATAAAACTGAGCAGTGGTAACTGCCACTGAACCATGTGAATGGAGATGACGACACCTAGAAAACAGGACAGTCAGGCTGCAGGAGTTCAGAACCTGACATTGGACAGGTTATTGGTATCAATATTGGCAGAAAAAGCAGGTGACAGACGTGAGGAAAACAGCCATAGAGCAGAATGCAGAAGAACAATGGGAGAAGGGGTTCACTGGGTATGGGTACCATTAATGACACTGTGATTGCGTTTGTACTTTTCCTTTGTAAATCTTTATATCTTTATCTCTGGTAACACTCATCAATGGGGACATTTAGAGCTCTGATCCCAAAGGGGGAAGAAGCTGACTGCACTTCACCTAAAGGACTGGCCCCTCAGCTGGCCTGTCCTAACGCGTCACCATCGTCTTCACCACCCTCCTCTCTGACCTCTCTGACCTTCAAGGCGATCTCCCCATTACCTCAGCCACATGCTCAGAGCCTTCATCACCCACTTACCAAGCAGCATCTATAATGCACTTCATTTTATTATCAGCGGCAGGAATTCTCTTGAAGTCTTTCTCTGACTACTTCCTTAAGGCTTCCCAACATATAATGACCATTTCAGATTTTATCTCATCTAGTAATTCTCTAAAGTTTACTACATTGTTAGAAATGTTGTACTTCTACAACATTAGTTAAAATCAATTTGGAGTCTTCATACAAAGCATTTATGATATGAAGGAATACATTCAGCACCATGATTGACAGATTAAAATAAAAAGTGATGGCAGAGAAGATTCAGCAGGGTTTACAGATGCCTAATACTGTTTGTCAAACTCAGTAATGCACCCTTTTCAAAAGAAAAAAAAATATTTTATTTCCTGGTGGTGTTGACAAAGTACCTTTATTAAAACATTACTTAAGTATTTGCAAACATAAATTAGAGCTAAATTCCTTATGCTTATATCTTCTATATAACTATAAAATAAAAATAAATTTATAAATCAAACCAGAAGTACAAAACCAATACAATTTTAATTAATACTTAAGACATCAATGATGGTAAATTGCTAAAACAAAGTCAGCAGTGTTTGGCTTAACAGTAGAAAAAAATATTTTCATGTTTTAGATTCTCTTTCTGACTTGATCTGTAAGTTTAAGTAGTAAGGTACATCATTTGGGTCATCATTATCATTGAATTTGAAGGGTTTTTTTTAAATATATTTTACAGAGAGAAAAGGAAAGGAAGAGAGAGAAACATCAATGAGAGAGAAACATCAATCAGCTGCCTCCTGCACACCCCCTACTGGGGACGTGCCTGCAACCAAGGTACATGCCCTTGACTGGAATGGAACCCGGGACCCCTCAGTCCACAGGCCTATTTATATAAAACCAGTCTTAGCTCAAAAACCTTACAGGAGTAGGCTAAGAACCATATTTGGCCCACTGGCTATAGTTTATTAACCCTTGACATAAAATAAAAAGGTCAAAGTAATTCCATCAATAAGAGAAAGGAGCCAGTTTTATACACACATGTAGGTAAACAAATACTACCATATTAAGTAGAAAGATATTTATCCTAAAGACAATTAGATAGTGAAAAAAATATGCTATATATACAAACATCATAGAAAAATAAAAATGAAATAATTTAATGGTACATACTCTGGTGTGTATATTGGTAACCAATAGACTAGTCTTCCACCTAATGTGAGGGTCTCAGCTGCAAAGTTTAACAGGTCAAAAAACATATCACTCAGATGATAATTCAAGGAAACAGGAACATGGCTTTCTGGACTAGACAAAAAAATAAAAAATAAAAATGAGTAAAAATCTTTAACAGAGTTAATTAGCAAGAAGCAACATGCTTGTTCTCAAAGTAGTAACACATCATATTTAGCTCTCACTTACCATTTTCCTATTCCCTTCTGGATTTCCTTCTGTGAACCTGTTCTTCTTGTCGATTCTCTGATACCATACGGAGCTAGACAGAAAACACAGGTAACACAGGTAGTCAAAAGTCACCTACTCCCCAGTGAGGGGCAGATGGACTGATGTGCCTCCAGTTGTGACACCAAGAAGGGTACACGTCACCTCTGCAATATTCCAGCTGAGAATGTGTAACACAAAGAACATTCGATTTAAAAGATTTGGGAGGACAGGCAGGACATGTGTTCTTCAAAAATGTCAGTGTCATAAAGACAGAGAAAAGCTTTGAAAGTGTTACAATTAAAAAAAAAGCTTAAAATATATGATTACTAATGCAATACCTAACACTAGAATAGATACTATACTACAGGGGGAAATATGCTATAAATGATACTGGGTCATTTGACAAAATTGATGGAAAACTGTAGATTAAACTATTGCATTGGTAGCTGTACTTTTGCTAAGATTCTATCCCTATTCTTAGGAAACGACACACTGAAGTACAGGGGTAAAGGGCCACCATACATACAATTTATCCTCAATTCTTCAGAGAAAAAACTATATTTTATGTAAATATATAATGAAAGCAACAATAAAGTAGATTGTTAAAAAGTTACCCAGTTTTCACAAAGTATCTTCATGCTGACATTATAATGCCTCTGTAATTTGTCTTTTGTTAGATTAGTTACCAGAGAACTAAAGTGAGCTGAGATGGAAGGATTGAGATACACTTGCCACTATTTACAGATTTATTGCCAAATACTGTAGAAAAGGCAGATCCGATCTCATATGGAATGCCAGAAAAGCCTAAGAACTCATGAGGCACAGAACACAGTTCTGTGTATTCCTGAAGCTCAGTACGTTTGCAAGCCCAGTGTCCACAGAATTTCTTGTAACTCTAGAAAGGAGATGTCAGTGCAAACAGGCACTACAAAAAACACAAAAACTTACACATGGAAAAATGTGTGATATATGAAACTGTCTTCTTTGAAATCTGATACCATAATTGCAAATGACATTTTGGATCCAGTGGGTACACTAATGACCAACTATAGCCAAATATAAAACAAACATGAAAACAAATATATGCTTCAAAAAATAAGCTGAAGAAATAAAGGGATGACAAGTTAATATACATATTTAAGAAAACTAAACAGTAAACTCTTTACTACTTAGTTAAATGGGTACCCTACCTATATTCACTTTTTTTTTTTTTCCTTCTCACTATATAAAGATGGGGGTGGGGAGAATACCAATACAAGTTGGTATTGTGTGTGTGTGTGTGTGTGTGTGTGTGTAAAAGCAAACTTACGATCAGTGATGATTGCATCAAAATATGTGCCCTTCTTCCAGGAAGGTTTGGATGCATCAGAAACCAGGACATCAAGGTAATATTTCTCTAACCCATATTGACGGAGATTTGCCCTAATGTTTTCATCTGGTCCTCTCCATTTCTGGTTTTTCCTACTAGCCTTTCCTGAGGTGAGAGAAAAAGGAAGACAGGAAGTACTAAATCAAAGCAATATTTAACTCATCTCAACCTACATTTATTCAAATACAACATGCTTTCACTTAAAAAATCTTCATTTTAATATACAAATAAACATTTATTTCAACTTATAAAAATATATTTGAACAGTAAAAGGTACTTACGCCTGGTATTGTTTACTTTTCATGTAAAACTGCCTTAAAAACTAATTCAGTACTTACTGAGTCCAAATCATATATTAGTAAGATACAGAGTTGAATAAAATATGGTTCCTTTCCTCTAGCAGCAAACAGTCTGATGTAGAAATAGTGATCAATCAGATCAATGAAACAGAAACTAAGAAAGCTAGTTTTGGAAATGCATGTGATCATGAAGGGGGGGAGAGGGGTTGCAAAATGGAGACATTACAGATGAAAAGTTGCAGCAGGATTGAAGTTGTTCAAAAGAACTAGTTTAGGAGAAAAAAGTGGATGATGGGACACCATCAATTAAAATGAGAGAAACCAAGAGGAAAAAAGATGCGATTCACTTGAGATACGTACATCTTGCTTGTGAGCTACCTACACAACCTTCAGGAAGAGCTATTCAGCAGGTAGTCGGAGGTCAGAATATACACACATAGGAGTCACCTGTATAAGAAACTTAACTTAAATCCATAAGAATGAATGACATTATTAACCTAGGTGGCAGTTACATTCGTGTTTGTTTTATGTTTATTCTATTTTTATACACTCTTCTGTACAATGATCTACTTCATAATAAAAACAAAATTTAAATGTCAAAAGGAGAATGACACGACTGTACAATGTAGTGTTGACAGGAGAAGGGGCAGAGAGATGCCGGAAAAAAGCAATGTGTAAACACAGAACAAAGAAAACTGCAGGGCTTTACCGAGGCTACAATGGAAGTCAAGGACATAAAAGCACAACCTGCTGAGACTACTGTCTTGGGAACCAAAGGAGGCTTTATAAATGTCAACACTGCCAAATGCTGTGGCCTTAGAGTTTTCAGTAGGCATGAAAGCTGACAAATAATAGGCACCAGAGAATGAGAGATGAAGAAGGGGAAGGTAGCAAGTAAATACTAGTTTTTCAAGAAGTATTTTGGCAAAATAAGAGGAAAACAAAATGGCAGCTAGAAGGTGTCTACAGGATTGACAGAGAAGGTTTTGTATTTTTAAAAAGAGGAGAAATTTTAGGATATTTGAGTACAGTAAGAGATCAGAATGGACATATCTAACAGCATCTTGGATGAGCTTTGAGGAGATGCTATGTCCATCAGAATTCTACCCAAGTACACTGAAAGGTTGTAACGAGTTTTAAACACAACTTTCATAAATAAAAATTCAAATAAATTACGTATGACAATTTCCTTAAAGCAAACATACCACTTCTACTAAAAGCAAGCTGAAACAATTCTGCTTAGTACTTTGTCTACTCTAACATATTGCAAACAAAGAGTATTTTTCTTGTTAGCTTACTTAGGTGAACTTGATTGAATACAACTCATTTTCCTTACGATAAATATTACTAAATTCCTTATAGTCAAGACAGGAAAAAAGAGAGGTCATCAAGTACAATATATTAAATTGCTTCAGCAAAAGAAAAGAACGTATAATAAATTTTCACCTATATAATAATTTACTCTGAATAGGAAAAAGGAAAAGAGTATTTTAAGGGCTGATTCTAGCTGCAATAATTTAACTAGTATATACAAACAGCTTTAAAATAATCAATGAAGCCGAAACCGGTTTGGCTCAGTGGTAGAGCATCGGTTTGCAGACTGAAAGGTCCCGGGTTCAATTCCGGTCAGGGGCATGTACATTGGCTGTGGGCACATCCCCGGTGGGGGATGTGCAGGAGGCGGCTGGTCAATGTTTCTCTTTCATCAATGTTTCTGGCTCTCTATCTCTCTCCCTTCCTCTCTGTAAAAAGTCAATATATATTTATTTTTAAAAAATCATCAATGAAACCTGACATTTCTAATATCATTCAGCTATAAGGAATTACTTTTTCAGTTTGATTCAATTTTATTAAATAATACATCATCAGCAAAGCTTCCAGATTTTAAACTACTTTCCAAAATCCCCTCAAAAGCAAGCAATCTTCAAATAGAAACTGTATGTTTTATTAACACAGACATGCTGATTACAAAGTGGCTCTCTCTTAGTTCTTCTCTCCCAACCCTAAAGTTCACTACCTTATAGTTCGCCTCCTTTTAAAAAATCTCTCTTACTAAGACCACAGTATACCTCTGAGGGAGGGTTTTTTCTTATTCATCACTGTGTTCCCCCAGGATCACTTCATATAAAGCAGATACCCAAGGAAGTGTTATTGTTGTAAAAATATGTAAATCTATATTATACCACAACTCTTCATTTTTTACATTAAAAGTAGATGTGTAATACCATATAAAAATATTTATTTTCAAGGCACATTTGGTACAAGAGCAAAGACTGCAACACTGTGTAGAACCAAACTCACCCAAGCCATGAACTGTGTTGTAGTCTATGTCTGTCCCATAGACATACGCTCCGAAATGAGCAGATGCTATCAGAAGGCCACCTGAAAAAAACCACAGTTATGGTCTGTTAACCAGAAAGTCCCAGACTCTTATTTCTTCCACGTTTTAATCTGACCCAGACTCTTACAAACTAGCTGCAGGCAGAGTATCCTAGAAGGACAATGGTCCTGGCCTCCAGACCAAAAGAAACAAACCCCTAAGCTATGCTCACGACAGTGGTCACAAAGCAGGTAATTAATGTATGATTTGACTTCATTACAAGTATTTAAACAGCAATACTTATAGAAAATTATGTTTTGGGGGGGTTTAAAAAAATGTATATTTAGACATTATTTTCATCTCATCCTGAGTGATCCATGCAAAGCATGGATCTTGCTCCTTTTTTACAAACGAGCAGATGACTGCTACACAAAGAGCTGGCAATCAATCAATTCTGACCACTGGGCTCAATTGCACTAAAGTCAGAATTTCAAATAACTCAAGAGGACATAATTAATATGTAAGACATTAATCCTTGCAATAATTAAAATATTAGGATAAGAAATAGTTATTTCTATAACTAATAAAGCAATGATCTCATTTTAAAACTATAAATATTAAGTTCCAAATAACTACTATGAAACACACAATTAATACAATTTTTCTGTTTACTATTCTATAGAAAGGTCAGTCAAGCTGAAAACAGAAGTATATTCTAGACTGTACACAGACTTAGCCAAGGGAAAATAATTAGGCTATTTCCTTAATATACTTTGAAATGTAATCTCTAACATTAAGATGGGTAGTGCCTCCAGAGGGTCGAGATTTATAAATGAATAGTGTTCTCCCAGAGCCATTTAAAACACAGTCTGGTAGCATGTACTTACAAATACTTTTCCCATGAAAAATATTATAACTGGTTACTTCCTATTGGAGTTTCTGAAGAAGAGAAATGAAGGACTAAAAGCACAGCACAAGCCAAAACCTAGGTCCCCTCACACTAACTACAAAAGAATTTGTGTGAAAGGTAAGGTAAGTAGTACCTCATAATTCTTACTCTACAAATGGAACAGTCCCTCTTTGGGAAAACTACTATCAATATATGTGATGACGTGGAATACTCACAAAATCACTTCACCCAATTCTTTTTTTTTTAAATATATTTTATTGATTTTTTACAGAGAGGAAGGGAGAGAGATAGAGAGCTAGAAACGTCAATGAGAGAGAATCATCGACCAGCTGCCTCTTGCACACCCCCTACTGGGGATGTGCCTGCAACCAACGTACATGCCCCTGACCGGAATTGAACCTGGGACCTTTCAGTCCGCAGACCGATGCTCTACCGCTGAGCCAAACCGGTTTCGGCGCTTCACCCAAATTTTGAGGAATTACTACAAATCTGCCAATTCAGGCAGATACTCACCTAGAAGAGCTAGTTGTCAAGAGAACAGAAAAGCTTTCCTGTGCTTCCTTAAACAGAACCTTATCCATTTGGTTAGTGAGTTTTGAGCAGACCCAATTTAGATATACACTGCTGCAAGGAGATGAATAATCTGTTAATTAACTCTGTGCCCTTTAAGCTTTTAAAGTTTTAAATAAAATCATTATAAAGTAGCTTCTCTGATCTAGTCACTGAATAACCATTGTCAATCATCTAGTTTTTTTTTTTCTGTTAAATTGAAGCATTTTTTGCATTTAGCTATACCTCTGATGGAGTTTCCTGGAAGCTTTCTGGGGGGCTAAGGGGTGGTAAAATTCAGGGAAGAAGTGTTGAGGGGCCAGGTAATGTGACTCAGCTGATACCTTATTACATGCTTTCAAGTGTAAAAATACCACAGACTCAGTGCTTTGATTTCTCATTATTTAAATAGCAACCACTTTAAGGTTAGGGTAATATCATATAAGCAAAAGGCCCAATGAATGAAATTTACTTATGACAAAGAAATTAATGCCTGATTTTCATCTTTAGAGATTTATGTGGAAAGCTTCACAAAGTGTGAAAATGAGATACTGGCTTTGGTTTTGCTGAAAGAAAAGGAAAAAGGAGAAAAATGGAGATACTATTAAATCTATTTTATCCTTTAAAAAAAACCTCAAATAAATTAAACTAGCAGCCTAAGCAAAAGGATATTGCTAGAACAGAGACATCTTCATAGATGAACTACTAAACTCGGGAAAGGAAACTGCAGAGAATTGTGGACACAATGGGAGGCAGAGACCATTCCTCAGACTCACAGAGATCCATTACTCTCTCCTCACCTTTTTAGTACCCCCCAGAACCAGGACAGTCAGTGTCCCAACAGCTGTGTCTATCATTTCGCAATGATAATTTTTCAAAAGGAGCCACACTCCTTCCCTTACACCTCTGGGCCATCTGAAGGCAGAAGCCAAAGGAACAGAGCAGTCTCCCGGGAGAATTCTCAGCTGCCGAAGGAGCCCATTCCCTTGTGAGGAAAGGTGAGAAGGAACAAAGCTACAGCTGCAAAGTCCATCGTAAAACCACCCCACAGCGACCTACACTGGCAGACACTCGGGCCAATTATTCCCAACACTTTCAGAGAATGAACGTTTACATTTCAATCCTCAATTTCCCCGCTTGCTGATATGATTTGCCAATGGTTGCAAATTATGGATATTTTGAAAAATTAGCCAAAGAAGAGACTATAAAATAAGTTCATGGTCCAATTGTTCATCATCACCATTCCATATTGGCTATATCTAACATCTTCCACCAAAAAAGCACTTAAGTTCTTAATCAAGTAATAATTTAAAATAAAATGATAATCAATACAGTTCACTGAATGTCTAGCATGCATCATGAAACTTCCTAAGAATTTCATAGACATATATTGCCTCACTTAATCCTCACAATATATTACTTATTACCATATTACAAATGATGGAGTGAGGCCCAGACAAGTTAAGAATGTTGCCCAAGGTCAGATAGTAACTGACAGAATAAGGATTTAAAACTAATTCTATTTGCTCTTATGGTAGTCCATGCCATACTGTCCCCTTTGGGGTCAACAGCAACTGAAGTAAATATACATTAGCTTACCAATTAGAAAAACAAAAGTAAAATCTGTTATTAGACAAAATAAATTAAGTAAAATTTGCACACTCAGTAAGAGCTGTATACCATTCACAAGTCTTATACTATACAATAGGCAGGCCTGGGCCATTGTATGTATAATATTATATAGAATATTTAAGCAGCATCTTTATAAAGGGCTTCTTGCAATTTTCCATTAATTGTATCATATATACATAAACAGCAAAATGACCAAGCTATGCTACCCACTTTCAGGAGCTGCCATAAAGTAATTTAGGGACAGGTCTCTCCACTCCTTACCAAAATAAAAGCAGTGAAAACCTCATTTGCTGTGGAAGTAAGCACCCAGCCTAATCTGCATGAAGGGAAGAAAGTTTACCTCTACTGGTAATTCTATTTTTAAACTTTATGGTCTGGTCTGTGTGTGTGTGTGTGTGTGTGTGTGTGTACGCATATTAAGCTTTATATACATGTATGTATCCAAAGAATTATTCTCACTTCACAGAAAAAAATGTTTTAATGTCTGAGAACAATTTAGGGATTAATAAAGGACTCGGCATTTGGAAAAAAGATAAATTAGATCCATTCTTCACATTGGATAAGAAAATAAACTCAAAATGAACCAGGGGAAAAAAAAGGGAAAAATTAAGACAACCAAAGTACCAGCCAAATGTATAGTTTAATCCTCTATAAATTGGATGCAGGGAAAATTTTTGCATGGTAAAAAGCTATTCTATGCTAAATCAAAGGATAATGGAAAACTGGGAGAAAATATTTTACATACATGTACGGGAAAGATGAGGCTAAACTCCCTAACATAAAAAGTACTTTTAAAACTGAGACCAAAAACTCTACAGAAAAATGGGCAAAAGACATGAAAGATAATTCAAAAAAAGTTCTAAAAATGACCCTTAAAATATAGAAACTTATTACACTTCACTCATAGTAAGAGAAATACAAATTAACACTGCATTACGATAGGTTTTTCATCCAATGGAATAGCAAAATTTCAAAAGCTTCATAATACACTCTGCTAGTGAGGCTATAGGAGAATAGGGCCTCTTATATATTTCTGTCAAGAATGTAAAATGATATAATTGAGAGGAATTTGGTAACATTTAACAAAACTACATATGCATACGCTCTTCAACCCAGCAATCCAGCTTCTAGGATTTTACCCTAGATATACTAGTACACGTGTGTGTGTGTGTGTGTGTGTGTGTGTGTGTGTAACATTATGAAGATATACATGTACAAGATTATTCATTGCAAACCTTATTTGAAACTGCAAAATACTGGAAACTACCCACACCCAAATACAGGAAACTATCTGATTAAATTACAGTATACACACCCATGGAGTTCAATTATAAAAAAGAATGAAAGATACAGAGAACAAACTAATGGTTGGAAAGGGGAAGGTGCGGGTGGGTAGGGAAAACGAGAATGAAGAAAATCTCCATGAACAAATAGTAAGTGATTTCCAGGAAATACTGTTAAGTACTAAAAAAAGAAAATTTAAAAACAACATATATATGGTATACTATCTTTTATGTTAGAAAGCAGTAGAAATAAAATGTACATATATCTGCTAATCACTATCAAAAGTAAAAATAGAAAACAACAACTCAGGAAGAATGAAATAGCTAACAAAAAATAGGTGGTTACTTACAAAGAATGGGAAATTATATGGTTGTCAATTTTAAAAGATGGACATTTTTGGTCACTTAAGTCTTTCTTTCCCCCAAGACTTTTCCTATTTAAATAAACTAAATAGCTTCATAACATTTCCACAATATATGATATTGCAATGTAAGGTATGCTTCCCCCTAGTGGTTTACTTGAAAAAAAAATACACAAATTCATCTTTGAAGTGGCAGAAGTGTTACATATGGACTATTATACAAATATGTGGATATCTCGTAGGCACTAATAATAATTAAAAGATTATTCTGTCCATTTAACCTTTTAGCAAAAAATATTACTATGAAAAATATATATTACTATGACTTTGATTTATATAAACAAGCAATGTCTCTAAGCTAGCTTTAACAGTTAAATCAAAATACCTGTTCCAACAAATGGGTCAAAGACAATATCATTTTTCTTTACTTTTCCATGGTTGGCCATGATGAATGATAAACCAGCATCCATGCTTGTATTTCCAATGTAGTGTCTCTTTTTGACACTGTATGACTCTATAAGCTCTCTCTGTCCATCTGCAATCTAGATCAAAGATGTTTTTCAAATTAGTATAACTGTACAGATCAGAGTTAAGCTAATCATCCACAGTGCTCGCTTCAACAGCACATATACTAAGCTAATCATCCACAATAAAACCACCATGGATCTCAATAATGAAAACTTCTTTCCATTTACTACTGCTCTAAACTTGCTCCTTTTAAAAAAAAGTGTGGATAAATAACCTTTAGTTCTTAGTGTGTTGTCACTTACTTAGACTTTTCAAACCAAAACTGAATTGAATTTGAATGCCAGTACTGCAGGGGTTCGTGGTAAGCTTTATCCATCTTTTTTTTCTTCTAAATAATATTCTGTAACAGCTTCCCTCACCCACTTAGAGCCTCAGGAAGTGGACAGAATTACTCGACAGAAATTTTATTTCTTTTCAGAATGGAAACCTAGACTGCAGATCGCTGCAAATGAGGTCCCTCAGCCACCAGAGCACTCAGCCCTGGCTCAGCTATACTGAAAAAGCAGTTCAGACTTTCTGACAAGTCTTGTGTTAATATTTTCAGGCACATCATCTCCTACCTAGGCCCCAAGTCTCTAGAAAAACAAACAAACTAAGAGGGGGAAGCAAAAAAAAAAAAAAAAACAATCACCAACCACATAACCACATATTTTTCACTGACTTTAATTCATACATTCTGACTCTTCAGCTGCTATCAAGTTCCACATCTAGAGTTAAATAAAAAGGCCCAGAATATAGCATTGAAAGAAAACAAACTTAAATAGGTAAAAAGAACATTTCCTTACCCATCTACCAAAATAAATATTATGTGGATTCTCAGGAATGCAGTTGGGGTCCAAACCATAATCCTCCAAAACAGAGAATATATGCTGTGGCTTCTTTAAATTTACTTTTCCTTCAAATGGCAGAAACTCAAGAGCCTACAAAAAAAAGTAATTCCAATGTCCTATAAAAATTTAAAAGGAAAAATAGTGCTTATTTAATAATGCCTACCTTTTAAGTTTGGTATTAGGATTTAGACAAAACATGAAACATACTTAGCACACACTGTGCTACAAAATAAACACTTAACAAACATTGGAATTATTACATATCAACAGGGATTAGACTATATTAATCTCACAGGTTTTTTGGCTTTGCTAAATTCACTTACATCTATTCGTTTGACTTTTTCTTCTTGTGTCAATGTTTTATTGAATGTGTGAATCTGTATTTTATATGTAGAATCTGAATGTAGAAATGGAACCTAAAATAAAAGCAGATAAGTTCTTTAGGCTTAGTAATTCCACAGGATCTGCAGACATACTACATGAAACCACACTTCACTACGCACCATCTTCTCCACAGGGTAGTTTCTGAGAGAACTATACAGCTCTTCTGGAGATTTCCCATGACCCCATAGTTCAAATATGGACCTAGGAAATAAATGATCAGTATTAACCTCAGTTAAGAAGTCAGTTCACACAGTAATGTGTCACTGTGATTTCACCAGTTCTTTATGCTCATTCCACTAAAACATGGATTGCCTATGTTTTCAAAGCTATTGTATAAATGAGAAATATGTATCCTGGAAACAAATATAGCTTAAATTACACATAGGAATTGAACTTTACACATAAGGACATAAATTTATCATCAATCACAAATGATGCAGTAAAATCACTTAAGTTATTTTAGTAAATGGGTGAAAAGCTGCAGGAAATCCTATTTTTCCCAGTGTTTTCTCCATAAAACAAACAAAAAAAAACGATCAGATAAAAATGTTACTATTAATACTTAGCTATTACTTAGTAACATTTAGTAACTAACAATTATTTTAAAAACTATTACAGAAATTCTTACATTAAAAAATAAACTCAAGCTTCCATATATTTCTAAACAATGACAAGCAAGCTTTCATTGCAACCAGTGAAATAGTTCTTAGAATTAGTTGAAATAGAACACAATCTACATATTAGCACAGTTCTTCTGTGCATCTAAATTTAAACTACTTTATAATTGTAATTAACAATGCCATTAATATTGAGATTATCTTTTGAAAATGAATTCCTCCTTCCCTTTGTATTGAATTTACAGAAAGAGGGCCTCTATAGTAATTCTACGCTTAGACAGCTATCACTTAAGGAGTGACCTGAGCTATACAAAACACACAGAAAATAAAAGACAGCCATGGAAATTATTTACATACTATTAATAATCATTACACAATTGTTAATTGTACCATTTTATCAAATAAATGCATCAGAAGATAGGAGCTTTGAAGGAAGTGTGCACGTTCTTGGTCCTCAAGCAGCTACTTTAAACCTAATAAAACACATCTTTGGGAATCAAACACCTTTGAGAGCTATAACTTTTAATATGCTTATCTAAAGAAGTAATTAATTAAGGGTGTGTTTTTTATTTATGCTTCCATTGTCTAGTCATTTTTATTAAATACGTTAGACACATTAACAAGCTTGAGTTTAAGAGATTAGATGTAGTACTGTGATAGTTTTAATAAGATGAAATTAACTGAATATTGGTTTATAGTCTACTCAATATTGCCAACCATGTTAATAAAACCAGGTATACGTAAATTCATATTTGCACTGCATTATTAAATGTTATTTTCAAGGAAAGAAGGCATTCAGTAATCTACCAAGATGTTCAGAAAATAAAGCAACTCAAGCATAAACTGGTCCAATTTTAAGATGAATGTTGAAAATACAGTTTAACTTTCAAACCCCAAAACAGAAAATTTTCCGGTAACAAAAGAAAAAGGGGAAAACAGAAAATGCCAATGATAAATTCTAGAAAACACTCAAGTAGGATAAACAGTGAACAGCATAATTACATTAATTCATACCAAATTACGATAATCAGAACTCCTCTAAAAACTAAAACAGAAAAAATTATTATTTCATGGTGGTCCTCACTTTTTGTCATCTTACATTCACCAATCTGCTCAACCAACTAAAAACCATCTACAAGAAAGACAGTTTAGATTTTTGGTTATAATTAACTGTGGCATTTACCCCATGTAACAGCATAGCATTTACATCTTATACCTTACTTCTGCTTAACATAGAAGTTTTAAAAGATTATTCTGAAGTAAGTGTTTCTGCATTTTACACTGAGATTTCAGCAGGTAACTCTCATGTTCCCTAAGTCCATCCCGTGGCAAATTCCGGTAACTGCAGGCTAACCTGACCTCCCCAACAACCAACCCCTTCTACTTCCTGTCAATACAGCAAAAAGCAGGACAGAGTAATTATGAGAAGTACTGTATACACTGATGCAGAAGAACATTGTAAGTTTTTCTTACTTGGCACACACTGTCCGCTTCATTAAGTTTCTGGCAATATCTTCAGAGGGAATAGTAAGAATCCAAAAAGGAGACTAAAAGAAAAAAAACAACAACATGCAACTTACTTCAAATAGGCTGTGTGGTATCATAGGCTTTTATTCAAGAAGTCAATAAGGAGCCAAGACTGGTTTGGCTCAATGGATAGAGCGTCGGCTTGGGGACTGAAGGGTCCTGGGTTCGATTCCGGTCAAGGGCATGTACCTTGGCTGCGGGCATATCCCCAGTAGGGGGTGTACAAGAGGCAGCTGATCGATGACTCTCTCTCGTCGATGTTTCTAACTCTCTATCTCTCTCTTCCTCTCTGTACAAAATCAATAAAATATATTTAAAAAAAAAAAAAGAAGTCAATAAGGAGATATTCCTACTTGCTACTTTTAGACAATATGTGATCTGACTAATTAAAGTTGTTCTAATATTAAGAAAAAGTAAATTATTTTAATAAAATATTATTGTATAATATCAGAATTAACCTAGTTATTAATAACAGGGAAGGAGCAAAAGGAAAGGCCAAATAGGATAGGCATGTCATTTGGGCAGCTCTGCCAGGAAGCTGCAGTTGAACCCTCCTCAGGGAGCCGCCAGTCTCTGCCCCACAGACTGCTGGGGAAGGAACTGGACAGGCAGGTGGGGCAGTAGGTGCCTGTGGTGGCATTAGGAAGGTACCTGCCTGTCAGTCAAACCTGGGACAGGTGACTGGTCGGAGTAGGCATGGCCACTGTAAACTCAGGAAGATTTTTGAGATATTTAATCCCCTAAACTAAGGAGTTTGCTCTCTTGGTTTTTTTCTTGGTTGACTCCTGGCTTGTGGGACTCTCCTGAATCTTGCTTCATGTATTTGCACCCATGGCCCATGTGGACCCCACACACAATACACTAATGGACCGCAACCAGCCTGATGTTAAACTGGACCTGATTACAATACGGAAAAGAAACTCTAGACATTGGTTTTGCTTTTAGCTCTACTGAATCCCCAGCTACACTAAGGGAAATGGGACTTGGGAAACACAGGGATATAATTCCATGCAAATATAATTCATTCATCCTCTCCTGCAAGTCTCAGAAAATTCTTTTTCTCAATATATAAGGATTCCACCCCCAACACTCAGTGGAGAAAGAAATATCCTCCTTCCACCGATAACAAGAATAACTTGTATAAGTGACTCTATAAATGACAATACTAGCAAATTTAAGGTTATTTAAACTTCAGATTAATTTTGTAGTTGCTCTTATATAGTTGGACCAAAGTAATGAATGCATATAAAATCCCAAAGTATAATCTTGAAAAATTTTTAATTTTATAACTTGAACATTTGCAGTTCTTGTCTTCAAATCCAAGGTTCTATTTATATTCTATATAATTTACTGAAAAATATAAATTCAACTTACTTTTCCATAAGTTCCTTGATTATTGGTGAACTGACCTCCAAAAAGTGAAAGCAAAGACTGTATTTCCTATATTGAAAATATTATTGAGAGAACACATTTTAATACAGAGAATGCAAAGTGCATTAAAAGACATAGGTATAATACAATTAAAAATGAAAAGAGGGGGGCCTTGGCTGGTTTGCTCAGTGGTTAGTATCGGCCCTCACATGGAAGGATCACGAGTTTAATTCCCAGGCAAGGGTAGGTATCTTGGTTTCAGGTTCCCCGGGCCCCATAGAGATAAATGTGGGAGGCAACCAATCAATGTGTCTCTCTCATGTGGATATTTCTCTCTCTCTCTCCCCCTTCCTCCCTCAACTTGCACTCTCTCTAGAAATCAATGGAAAAAATATTCTCAGGTGAGGATTTAAAAAAATAAAAATGAAAATGGGTTGAAGACCTACCTAAAGCATTTAAAATTCAATACCACACAAATTACATCTCCAGGTTCTAAAAAAAAATTTAGTCACAAATAGTAATTTCTGAGAAATTTTATACAATACAATTGCTAAAAGATTTGATCAGAAAATGTCCTTATTTTTTTGGGGGGGGAAGAGGAGGGGATCGAACTATAGATTAGTAAATCTGATACTAGAGCAATAAAAATAAATTACATAGATGATTTGGGAATGTCCAGAAAAGAAATAATATGTTTGCAAGCATGTTTAAGATTCTCTTTTCTTCTCTTTGAATCGTAATATCAAAGATTTTCCTCCTTGGCATCAGTATTGCATACTTTTCAGTAGGAAACAATATACTTTTAGGCGGTTTTCAAATCTATCAGTTTAAAATAAGGCTAACATATACATTTTATGAATAATGGCTTTTTCCATATTTTGGGTTTATTTATGAGTCACAATAAGTAGGCTTACTATATCCAGAGAGATGACATTTTTATGGCTTCTTACAGTTTATATGGCCAAAATACTTTCTTAAAGGGTTGGCCTAAATTATAAGGTCAGAAAGTATTTATTTCTCTTTACTACTTCTCAACTGGCTGTTGTACCATTACTTTATCAATTGATTTTAAAAAGGTACTTTTAATTTATTTTAATTTTTTATTACTAGCATAGTATTGTTAATATATTTGTTTATAAGCATATTTGGAACCATACTTTCTCTAGAAAATAAAATAACTAGTGATGTATTAATTTGAGATTAAAAGACCAACAATTTGCAGAAGCCAGTTTGGCTCAATGGTGGAGCGTCGGTCTGCAGACTGAAGGTCCCAGGTTCGATTTCGGTCAAGGGCATGTACCTTGGTTGCGGGTACATCCCAGTAGGGGGTGTGCAAGAGGCAGCTGGTCGATGTTTCTCTTTCGTCGACGTTTCTAGCTCTCTATCCCTCTCCCTTTCTCTCTGTTAAAAATCAATAAAAATCAATATATTAAAAAAAAAAAAAAAAAAAAAAGACCAACAATTTTACCAAATAATAGGCAAGAGTGACAAGAGTGCAAATTAACTTTGCTGTCTTGATCAGTTAATTAGATGAATATATATATAATATATATACGTTGAATTAAGAAAAAGAAATAAATCATTAACTAGGAAGCATCACTGTGAATTTATTAAGCACAAATTATGCTAAGTTGTTATTTAATCTAGTAACTGAAATGTGAGGTGTAAACACTGAGTGTTCTTAGAAAAGCAAAGCAAAATATATATAATATAATATATAAATTATATTAGAGTACAAGGGAGGAAAAGATTACTTCGGTTTTAGAAGAAAAGTTTCAATGGTGGCTGACTTCCCATGATGGAAAGCTGGGTAATTCAGATTAAGTCTTCTGCTGAGAACTAGAAAAACCTGGCATCTGCTAAAGACATGGAGAGATTACAAGAATCGTCAAACCAATATCCAGAAGAGGACAAACGTCCAAGGTGTAGCCACAGGCTCCTCGCAGATTTACCTACTTTCACATCAGCTGGGAAGGTAGGTAGTCCTTTTGTCAGCTTAATGAAGAGAGAGGGACAAAGAGAATAAGGCCCCCCAATGGGGAGGAAAAGAGGCTAATCATCCAGTTTAAACTGGAATCCCAAAAACCTACAAATCCCAGGAGTACATGTGAATCAAACAAAACTTAACCCCTGAAAAGGAGCTCAAGTGATCCTAGATTGTTATGACCCTGTGTGGGACTTACATCATCCTAGGCCTCATATTTTATTTCTTCAAATAAATTTACAGATACAACATTTGGGACATATTTAAAAAATAACCCAGTACACATATAAAAAAGAACCTAGGGGGGGAAAAAACCATCCATAATAGAAACAGACCTAAAGTTTGGCAGTCACATACTTTAACAGAATGGTACTTTCTATGTTGAAGATGGCCAGTCAACCCGGTCTAATTATCATATTACCCTTTTATTCGTATAGATAGATTATATAGGATAGGATTGCTTAAACCAGGGGGAAAAGCTTTTATTAGCAGGAGGAGATGCTCTTGGCAGACAAAAATACGTATCTGGACTGATAACCAGCCATATGCACTATACTGCCAAACCGGTTATTAAAAAATTGAACTGCTTTCTTACACCTGTTCAGTGGTCGGCAAACTCATTAGTCAACAGAGCAGCAAGCTGAGGCTCTCGTGCCTCAGTTTGCCCACCAATGCCTTACACCAAACAGCTGTTCCCCTTAAAATCCCTCCTCAGCCCTCACCTTAGGTTCTGCCTTCTCAGTTCACCCAGATTAGGTTCTGATTGGCCAGTTTCTATGCCAGTCAGCGTCAAAAGCTCCGCCTCCTATCCAGTCATTTGCTCCTCACAGTTCACCTAGACTTGGTTCTGATTGGTCGGTTTCTATGTCAGTCAGCTTCTGTGGGGGGGGCGGGGGGCTATCTAAGGGGCTGATCAGTGGCGGGACTGATCAGCAACCCCCACAAAGGCCCGGAGAAAAAAAGAGGTGCAGCTGCTGGCCAGGCCTGGAGAGAAAGAGAGAGGCACAGGGCTGATCAACAGCTGCCTTGGAGGCTACAGATCAGACCCTGCTTCTTTCTTTAGGCCTCTCTCCAGGTCTGATCCGCAGCAACCCAGCCCCGACCGCAGGATCAGTCGAGGCTCTGGTCATTTTGGACATTACGGACCCTGCGTTTTTATATATTAGGATAATTACAAGTCACTTCTTGGTTTAAAAAGAAAAAAACACTTTGTCACTTCCTGGCTTGAAAAGGAAAAAAGAGTCAATGGCTCCCATTTAACTTAAAATTAAATCCAATGGTTACAAAACACTCCAAAATTCAGTCCCTACCATCATCTCTGTCCTCACTGCCTAGTGCTTCATCCTCCCTCCCCACACCTACCACATGCCAGTTCACCATAATCAACTATCCTGCATCTGCATGCTTGCTATTGTTTCTCACGAAGTGGGCTTTCCAGTTCTCTTCACCCACAGAACATCTCCTTTATCAATTAAGACCTAATTACAGTAGGTCCTCGGGTTACGTCAGAGATCTGTTCCTACCCTAAGCACATACGTCACTCACATGGAGCTCAAACACAGCAGTAATGAAGTGAAACAGTAAAAAATATTTAAAAGAAAGATAATAATTCCTGACCTTTTAAATAAAAATATTTAAAAGAAAGATAATTCCTGACCTTATTTATTGTGGTAAATAAATAAAAAAAAAACATAAAGCACATATGTACGTACGTCGAAATAACAGAACTTTTTTTTTTTAAATAAATAAATGGAAGATGGATAATTACAAGTCACTTCCTGGTTTAAAAAGAAAAAAACACTTTGTCACTTCCTGGCTTGAAAAGGAAAAAAGAGTCAATGGCTCCCATTTAACTTAGATGCCTGCACCGTATTACTCCCTCAATGAAACTCTATGCCCTTGCACCCCTATCTCGCCCTATACCCTCCCAGCAGGACATTAATCCTGAAAGACACAATCTGTCTTTGTAAGTCCTGAGGCTAGTATAAGTGGAGCACAAATGAAGAAAAATCACAGAATCTGGCAAAATTACAAGTACAAGATCTTCGCCCTCAGCTGAGTTGTCAGCATCACTCTGACACCGGTATTCTTCTCTACTCAACTGTTTTAACTTGTCAGCTCTCTGTCTTTCTCTCAAAGAGTATTTCAAAGTTTACTATTTTTCTTAATTTCTCCATAAAACTGCTTTGTTCCCCATCTCTCAAGTGAATAACCTTGACTCACTCATTACCTGGAAAACAGGACTTTGGGCAGCTACCCCATCCCTATCCTTTTGCCCACTCCGCACTTCCGTTGAAAGACCAAAAACTCCTCCAACTGTGACTTTACATCCATTTCCCCATCTCTTCAGCCTATTTTTTTAAAAATATATTTTATTGATTTTTTTACAGAGAGGAAGAGAGAGGGATAGCGAGTTAAAAACATCGATGAGAGAGAATCATCAATCAGCTGTCTCTTGCACACCTCCTTCTGGGGATGTGCCCCCAACCAAGGTACATCCCCTTGACCAGAATCGAACCCAGGAGCCCGTAGTCCGCAGGCCAACGCTCTATCCACTGAGCCAAACCGGTTTTGACTCTCTTCAGTCTATGAACAAGCCAATCTCCAGGGGATCCAAGGTCCCTCAAACTATTAACCAATCTTACTTTCCCTTCTTATGCTCTATCATGCTTTAGTTAAGAGAACTATTCTATCTTCCCTTCCTCCTCTTTCGTGACCATTAAACCAAGCAATCTTGCCCCATCCCAGCCCCCAAAATAAACTCTACACAACAGCTAGAGCAAAATTCCTAAAACTTGACCCTCCAGTTTTCTGTGGCCTCACACCCTTCCTGTATGACACATGCCTATCTTCATGGCCTTCTCTTCTCACTTCTCCTTAATATCAGTATTTCCAAGCACCTGCATTTGACTTACCATTCTTCTTGACACTATGCTTTCTCTGAAAATTTTCATTTTCTCTCCTAGTATTCATATGCAGAAGACTCCCAAATACTTATCACCAGTCCAGACCATTCTATCATGCTCTGTGCATACTCATATATGTATTCACTGCTTTCTGGTCATCTTCACTTGATATTATACAAGCACATTAAATTCAGCACAGCCAGAATTTAAAGCTTACATCTGGCTATGCTATTTTTTTTTAATTAAATTATTATCTGCGTACATATACCATTGCCCCCCTCCCATATATGTTCTCTATTTTAAATAAAAACACCCTTATATCCACCCCAAGACTCATCCTTGATTGATCCTTCCTCCCCCCACACGCCCCCACCCCTTAGTCAATTGACTCTCAAGCCCTGGTCATTTTATCACCTAGATTGACAGTCTATTCCATTCTCTTACCCCTTGCCCCAGTTCAGGCCTTCTTTCTTTATTAACAAGACTATTTATAACCACAGACTCCTAACTGGTCTGATTCTAGATTCACTCCCCTCAGTCCTATCCTCTGCGTTGCTGCCAACGTGCCTTCAAAAGAAAAATCTGATTCTCTTGCTTCCTTACTTAACGTTCTTCAATAAATTCCCCTTCCAAGCTCCTGAATATGGAGGGCTTTGGGTCTGTAGTCTCTTTCTGCCTCTCCTGTCCTCTTCTTACCACTCTCGGCTGCATATTTTGTAATCCAGTAATAAGAATAGCTTGTAATTCTAGTTTACTTATTTCTCTTCTTGGCCTGGGTAACTGCTACTCGTCCCGAAGAAGCTACTCATGGAAACCATCTCAAAGTCCAACCCCCTCTCTCCCCCTTCCTCAAGTGGATTAGATTCCCTTTCTATATGCTCTCATCTATTTCTCTACGCATCTCTCTAACACTGCACTTACAACCGTCACTTCAAAATACTATGTGTAGCCCAAACCGGTTTGGCTGGGTGGATAGACCCGTTGGCCTGCGGACTGAAAGGTCCCGGGTTCAATTCCAGTCAAGGTCATGTACCCTGGCACATCCCCAGTTGGGGGGTGTGCAGGAGGCAGCTGATCGATGTTTCTAACTATCCCTCTCTCTTCCTCTCTGTAAAGAATATCTATCTATCTATCTGTCTGTCTGTATATATACATATACACACACATACACACACAAACACACACTCGCTATGTGTATGCACCTGCTCAGCCCTGGACCTAAACAGTAAGCCCCTTGCAGAGGGAAACTGTCTTTGTCCCCAAGGCATCCCCAGCGCCCTGCAGTGACAGGTACTCTGCCAGTGTTTCTTGAATGAATAAATAAAACACTTTCCCCAACTTCCCCATCAGCTAAGCTTCACACATACACACACACACACACAAACACCGCCACCACCCTCTCGCCCCCAGACTGAGCGGCGTATCTGACACTGAAACACCGCCCTGAGCTCCGCTGTCGGCTGGCTCTCCGCCGCCGGACGGAGGCTCCTGGAGGCAGAGGACCCGCCGCGTCCACCTGTCCGCCTCCGGCCCGGCACCGGGGAGAGGACGGGAGGAAACGCCGGCCGGCGAGGCTGGGGAAGCCTGCCTGGGACCCCCTTCTCATGCACACCCTCCGCCGCGGGATGGGGCGGCGGGAGCCCCGGCTAGCACGCCCCCGCACCCCCGCGTGCTCGGGCAGCGCGGCCTCCCGGGCGGGCCGTGTGGAGGGCCCCGCGGGCTCACCGGCAGGCGGAACTCCAGGTGCTCCTGCGCCATGAGCAGCAGGTACCTGTTCAGGGAGCCCGGCAGCGCCATTGCGGCCGGCGCTGGTGCGCATGCGCAGCTCCGCCGCCCCGCGTTGCCCCGCCCCTGCCTCCCCCCAGAGTGGTTTCCGCCGGACCGGAGCGTGGAGGACCGGAAGCGGAAATCGGAGAGGCGGGCGCAGTCCCAGGAATGCTCACCGGGGAGGCGGGGCTGCCGCCGCTGCGGGGCGCTCCCGGTGGAGGTCGCCCATCAGGAGGACCCGGCGGGGGCCGCGTTGTGTTCCGGAGCAGCTGGCCCGGGAGGCCGGGCAGTGCCCGTGGGCCTCCCGCCTGGAAGGTGCTTCCAGCTTCTCTACGACTTTCTCAATCCCCGGTTCTTGGAAACGGAACCGAAATGTCCCCTTTTCGTGCAGACCTCTCTGATCACTCCCCAGGCTTCTGGGACTGCCTGACCTGAACCACTTTAGTTAACATTTAGTATACTTTTTTTCATTTTTTGCAAAAACCTTTTAAGGATGCATGCTTTGTAAGCCAATTATAATAAACTCTTTGAGGGCCGGGAACATCTGTACCTCAGCAAACGAAACAATGTCCTCCTCGGTGTAAGCACCAGTAACTGCGAGATTGTGATGGGAGACCGCCATAACCACAGCCAGCTGTGTATTAAAACCATGATGGAAGCTGCTTCTAACTTCCCTTTAGCGCAGATGCCACAGCAGTAAGTGCGTATCATGAATTGTAATAATTTGCATGGTATGGATATAGGTGGTGTTGCTTTTCAGAGTACTGAGTCCTTTATTGAGAGCTGTTTTGCACTCCACTGGAATAATGTGCCAAGTACAAAAGAGTAGGTAGGTATCCTACATCTGAGCATCAGGTGCCAGGAATGTAGCTGGTGCTTAGCGGTAGTGATTAAGGACATAAGCTGTGGTGTTAATCTTAGGTCCAAACCTCGGTTCCACTATTTACCAACTATATGTCTGCAAACAAATTTCGTAGCCTCTCTTATCTAAAATGTAAAAATACTGCCTCCTTCAAGGGATTGTTAGGACCAAGCAAAGTACTAGTAATGTACATAAAGTGTTTAATATATTACCTGGCATATTGCATGGGGCTGATAAATGGCATTTAAGGAGATTTTTCTTCTCTTAAAAAAATTTAACCCTGCACAGGCAAGCCATTAGGATTATTGTGAAACTACTCTAAGATCAATTAAACTACCTTTAAGGGGCTCATAGGCAGACCTGTTCAATGTTTCTTGAGTTTACTAGAGTAGTTTAGGAACCACAGAAGAGTATGGACATTGGAAGCTGGTGTTCAAACTAGAATCTAGAAACTTCCAATTTTTATTTTATTTTATTTCTTTGTACTGAATGAGGCAAGGAAGTTCATTGTCTGCCTTCTGGTAACTTACCCAAAGTTCAGTCCCTGGTTCATCTACCAGGGCAGAACTCTGAGACTTGGCTCCTCCCATGAGAATTACTGTTGCACAAGCATTGAAGCCTCTAATACAGGCTGTTCATTATTTTCTTAAAAACCAGAGACGTTGCTGTAAGGACCAGGAATTGGAGAAGTGTTGTGTCGTGTTATGATTATAACAAACCACTACAGTGCTGAGGCTAGCACACACAATAAGTGAAGAAAGGAGATGACCAAAGTTTCCAACAGCAGGTGTCATGTGTAATGTCAAGACTTCTCAGGCATCTGTATCAGATGGAGCATCTCACACCTGAAAACGGATTGGGTATCACAGAGAACCATGGGGATTTGTGCACCAACGAGAGGGAGAAAATGTATCTTACTATTAGTTATTAAAGTAGAAGATTTTTGCAATGAGTAAAAAACAAGGGAGCTTTTGAACAGTTTGGAGAATAAAATTTTATTGGAAGAAATTATGAAACAGAAGAGTCTCCTGCATCGTCAGGCTTAATGGAGATGATTCAGGAAGAAGAGAGAACACCAGGTGCTCTCTGGAAGCAGACCTGAACACGCTGAGACTCTGAGGCACCAACTCAAACTTAAGCAGCTGCAGTTGAGTTAAGTATGGCTCGGCTCCTTGAGGTTAAATTCCCAACTAGCAAGATATCCAGAAGCGGAGCAAAGTAGATCTTGTCCTCTGGTCAAAAGACTCTCCAGAGCAAATCTGAAGCCCCAATTGCAATTTCAGCCCACTAATTTGTTAACTGTGAAACAGGTTCCGAGCACAAAAAAAATGTGAATGACAATGGGCTGGAGATTCAGTTTTCTCTCACAGTCATCCTTAAACTCAAGCACAGCCACAATTCAAATAATCAAGGGCTATACAGTCCCAGGCAAATATAAGATTCAGTCTGATGAGGAAAGCTAGTACTGTCCAGCTGCTGGCTGAAATAGAAAATTTTTCAAAAGAAGCCTAACCTAGAGCCTGCCGAAATTAGGGTGCCTTTCCTTTTTGGACCAGTCCTTAATTTGACTTAATTTGGTTATTTTGTTTACAATGAGACTGAGATTGCAAGATACCAAGTTTATTTAAGCTCAATCAGAGATGTTTTTTATACAGGGTGGGGCAAAAGTAGGTTTATAGTTGTGAGTACATAAAATACAGTTTATTCTTATATTATTTATTCATTATTGTACTATTTTCCATATCACCAACTGTAAACCTACTTTTGTCCCATCCTGTATTTATATTGCTAGAAAAAAGTTAATTCATAAAAACTAGCACACTTTTTTAAAGAATTATTTTAAGTTCGATACTAAAAACATTTTAAACTAGGTTTTGAAATAGCTTTCTATTGAGCTAATGTTATAGATAGCTAGAGAGTTATCAAATTCTTAAACTACTGAAAAGGCTGTGTAAATTTTAGTTGCAATTATTACATTATTAATCTTTACAAGTAAAAGAAAACTGACCTAAAAGTGTGAGGTTCCAAGTGTGAGAGAGTATAAACTTATACGAATTAAATCAACTGGCTAATTACATTTTTTTAAATATGTTTTTATTGATTTCAGAGAGAGGGAGAGATAAATAGAAAACATCGATGATGAGAATCATCAATCGGATGCCTCCTCCATGTCCCCAACTAGGGATGGAGCCCACAACCCGGGCATGTGCCCTGAACAGGAATTAAACCATGACCACCTGGTTCATGGGTCGATGCTCAACCACTGAGCCACACCAGCCAGGCATATGTTTTTTAAAAGTTCATTAGTCATTGAAAATTCTATAAGTACTACATGTTATCATCATAATATTGTCAATTATATTGCAACTTCACATAGTACAACATGAAGCACATGCTGAATATTCCTTTTCTGTATCTGGTCATATTTGAACTGATTCAAATAAACTTGCTAATCTGTGTAGGTGCTTAGCAAACTACTTAACAAAGCAATGCTCAAAAATTTGTTACTCTAATTTTGAGAGTCCATAACCCCTACTCCTAAATTCCTCTCTCCAGCTCTGGTGAATTAAAATGGAATTTGGGCATTCAAGTCAATTGCAAAATAAATTATAATGAAAGCAGAACACAAGAAAAAGTACATTTGAGTCTCAAACTAAAGTTCCACTGTCTTCCTGCCTAACATTGAGCCACCTGCTCTCAAAAGTGTTTCCCTTTAGCTGAAACCAGTTTGGCTCAGTGGATAGAGCGCCTGTCTGTGGACTGAAAGGTCCCTGGTTCGATTCCGGTCAAGGGCATTTACCTTGGTTGTGGGCACATCCCCAGTGGGGGGTGTGCAGGAAGCAGCTGATCAATGATTCTCTCTCATCGATGTTTCTAACTCTTTATCCCTCTCTCTTCCTTTCTGTAAAAAATCAATAAAATATATATTTTTTTAAAGTGTTTCCCTCTCCACAGCATCTTCTGTACACATTATAGTACTTAACACATTTAATCGTAATCACTGGTTTTGACTGACCCTTGTATTAGCAATTAAAGGCAGTCCTTGCTAAAACCGTTTTGGCTCAGTGGATAGAGCATCGGCCCAAGGACTGAAAGGTCCCGGGTTCGATTCCGGTCAAGGGCATTTACCTTGGTTGTGGGCACATCCCCAGTGGGGGGTGTGCAGGAAGCAGCTGATCGATGATTCTCTGTCGTCGATGTTTCTGACTCTCTGTCCCTCTCTCTTCCTCTCTGTGAAAAGTCAATAAAATATATTTTAAAGGCAGTTCTTTCTCACTTTTATATTTCTTGATCCTGGCAATAGCTGATACACATTAAAGGCTCAGTAAATGTTTGCTGAATGAATAAATGAGTGAACTAAACAATAATGATTTCAGGCATTGTAACTAAACATAGTATTCATCACTTAAAACTACATTTAATATCATGCAAAAAAATGAGAAACTAGTCATCTTAGTCATTTCCAATTTCAATACTTTAATCCTTACATTCCTAACATCAATACTTTAATCCTTATGTTCACTTATTCAAGTACATAGTACTAATATACACTGGCACAATGTAGGATTAGCTTTCGGTACCTACTATTTTTCATTCACATAGTGCTATTATTAATCTAAATTAGCAACAAAAGGCAGTTTATAAAGAAATATCTCATAAAATAATACATCAATAAAACTAACATTGTGTTATTAACATACATTTTCTGATCTGAGACTGTCGATATTTACTTTCAAACCAGGATGTTTTCATGATAAAAACTAGATCTAATCACTTTTTAATTCTAATTTTCCTTTGGTACAGCAAACAAACCATAAAACAGCAGTTTCTGCCAGTTTTAATAAATTAATGTAACTATTTTATGTTTATTTCCCACATATGTTCTTACAGGTAAAATTGCATTACAGTGAATTCTCAAAGCCAAATTGATTGTTATTGCAAAGTCACTGTTAGAAATTATTATATACTAGAGACCCAGTACATGGAATTAATGCACTTGCAGGAGGAGCAGTTGTTCCTCAGCTGGGTCTGCACCCTCTTGCAGTCCGGGAGCCCTCGGGGGATGTCCGTCAGTCGGACATCCTTAGCACTGCTGCGGAAGCGAGAGGCTCCTGCCACCCTCGCTGCGCTCACCAGCCATGAACCCAGTGGCTTCTGGCTGAGCTGCGCTCCCCCTGTGAGCGCACTGACCACCAGGGGGCAGCTCCTGCATTGAACGTCTGCCCCCTGGTGGTCAGTGTACATTATAGTGACCAGTTGTTATGCTGTTTGGTCAATTTGCATATTACCCTTTTATTAGATAGGGCTAGAGGCCTGCTGGAGGAAGATTCCTAGAAGAATAGGGCTTCTTTGGCCGGAATGAAGCAGAGAAGGGAGACTTGCTTCCCTCCCATCTCCACTGCCCCACTTGCTTCTCGCTTCACTCCTTTCTGCAGTACTTGGTTTCCTTCTACGCTGTCTTCAGTCTTCGTTCTGTGCCTGTTTATGCAAATTAACCATCATCTTTGTTGGGTTAATTTGCATACTCGCTCTGATTGGCTGGTGGGCATAGCGGAGGGATAATCAATTTGCATGTTTCTCTTTTATTAGTGTAGATATATAGAATTTAGGACTAATTTATTACACAAATGCTAGGCTTTAAGAAATAAAAGCCAGCATCTGAAATCTGAGTAAAAAGTGACAAATATATGAATTCTTTCTAGCAAGATCAGCGATCACTATATAATACAGTACTCTTTACTTTGAAATATGTACAAAATTATGAAACTGTCAAGAGATGGTTAATATCTTTTCTCTTTCATAATAAAACTCCAACAAAGTACTTTCTATACCCGTTGGTTCTTCATAATAATCACTATTATAAATGACAATAATGAGAAATGAAAATACTTGAACTTTTAAAAAATACAGAGCCCTTCTTGATTAACAGAATTTGTTTTAATGAAATTTTATCTATAATATCTTATACCTTAGACAAGTAACCATTAAAGAAGTCAATGCCAGAGTATTCATATAACTATATTATAGATCTCAGGAAACAGACATTCAGAAAAGACTTAAGGCTACCCAGTAATAGTCTCTTATAAAACCCAACAAACCTTACCATTGTAATTTGATTTAAAAGGGGCCAAAATATTAGTTTCTGTTGAGCCAAGAATACGAAAATCTTCCACTGATGTCATTCTGATGTTCTTAGTTTTTCAAGCAAATAGTCAGCCTGTAATTTTAAAAACACAACACATTTTTTATTACAAATATGGTAGCTGGTGTGAAAAATTCTACTGGCATCCCTATTATAATAAACCACAGCAGACTGTCTGGATAATACGTATTCTCTTCTTAAAAATATCTTACAAAAAACTTAAACATAAGTGGAATCATATATTATTTGGTTTATTTCCCTGAGCATAATTTCCTCATGGTTTATCCATGGTTTAGCATGGGTCAGAATTCCCTTCCTGTAAAAAAAAATCATTTTTCAAATACAGTGGACATATATTAGTTCCAAATGTACAACATAGTGATTAGATATTTATATACATTAGGAAGTGTTCTCCCCAGTAAGTCTGGTATCTTTCTGATACCATAGTTATTACAATATTATTGACTATATTTCCTATACTGTACTTTATATCCCCATGACTATTTTTTTTTAAAGTGTATTTTTAATTCGTTTTTATTATGAAGCATGGCTCATGTAGAAAATTAGAAATACAAATACAAGGGGAAAAAAATCATGTTTTGAATTACACTGATACTTTAGAGACCACACCAACTATCCTGCAGAATATCACACTATTTCATTTCAAATACACACACATTCCTTAAATATATTTTAATTAAATAAAGTCATTTAAGCAAGTTGAAGAAAGGAACAATAAGTCTGAAATAAGAAGTTTCTAGAAATAGGGTGCTTTTGAAATTTATTTACTATGACTATAATAATAATATGCATTGATTAATGGTAATTATTTAAAATTTTATAATTACTCAGATATAGCAACTGTAGGTCACCTTGTCATCATGGATACATAAAATAAGAGACTGGTAAACTACTAGTCAAGTGGCCTTGGAGCGATCGAGTCATTTTTTTAGCCTTGACTGTCAGGCCACAGGCCTATAAGCAGCTGAATTCTATTCTACTTTTATCCTAGTGAAGCAGAATTTTGCAATTTTTTTTAGGCTCAAAGCTTCAGTCTCATATCTGGTAGTTGATGCTACTATAGCCCTTTTTTAAAGGAGATTAAATATCAAAAATTACAAAAATCTCAATTTCTACAGTAATGTTGCTAATGAAGACAGAGGCTGCATGTAACATTTATTGAGTATTTATTATTTGTAAAGTACTTTTAAGTGCTTTACATGTAAATTATTTTATAAATTCTACAGAAATAGGTACTATTACCTATATGCAGGTAATAAAGAACTTGGACCTTAAAACTCTTAAGTAACTTGCACAGGGTCCCTCAAGTAATTAATGAAGCCAGAATTTGAATCCAGATTTGATTCTGGATTCTGAACTATAAATGCCATGATTCTTCTATATCACATTCTCTACCTGAGATGGAGAGACTCAGCCTTAGTTTCTCTTCCTACAGATCTGACGACCTGGAAAATCCCCCCAATTAAAAATATTATTTTGGATATGTGCAAGAAGTATGATAAAACAGGTTATCACACCTATAAAAGCTGTCTCCAAAAAAAGAAAAGTTACATTAAAAAAAAGGACAAATATTTTATATACTTTTGTATGCTGCTAGTATAACAATAACACTTACTGTGATGAACCAATAGGAATTCGGTCTATAAATCAATTTTGATATAAAGCCAAACTCAGTGACTGGTGCTATGACATGAAGGTGCAAGTGGGAAATGGAGCAGAATGGTGGCACGTGAAAACCCATTCTAAAACAGAAAGGTAAGAGATAATTGACAAATCAGTTCTACAATAGTTTAAAGCTATTTTTTCATGTTAAAATGCATAAATATCAAAAAGATCCAACACAGGTTGCCTAAGGTAGATCTTCACTCAAACATCTCTTTTACTGTTTTTCTTTATTTACTTTAGAGTATTCACAAAGTTCCTCTTCTTTTCATGTTTAAATGTACAGTAACATAAACTCTTCATCAAGAAGGTCTTACAGCATATCATGCCTTAATATAACCTTCATGAATTTGGAGATGGCATTCCATCCTATCACTTTCAGCCTTTATCATATTAAGCTTTAATTCTCCTAAAATATGCCTCTTAATGAAGATAAATAAATAAATACAGGACACTCAAGTAGGTTCCATTATTCCAAGACACAGCCAGTAGATGGCAAGTGTTCTCCTTTAGTAAAAGTGGTAAATCATTTCCTTATGAACAAGGATTTTAGTAGTGAAATTAATTATATTATCATTAAAGAAAAAATTTATCATCACTTGTTTCTTGTTTAACAATAAAAATTTAGATGAAAATTATTCATATTCATTTGTTTTAAAATACATAACAATTCTTTTGACTAATAAATTTTTTTTTAAATATGACTTAACCTTTTAAAAATTAATTTACAGTTTCGCAAGTCCCCTTATTCTAAGTGGAAGAAGGCACAGAAGTGCTATATTGTGTCAGTATAGGACAAGGTAAATCAGATATGCAACACATATTGGAAGGCTTTCACTACTACCTAGAAAAGGAGACTAGGTTTTCTCTCTATGGAATACAAGTTATCTAATGTAGAATCAAGAAATCTAAAAGCCAGAAGAGACTCGGCCTTTTTATTTTAAATATGAGGAAGCTAAGATCCAAAAAGTTTAATAAACTTTCTAAAGTCACAGTGTTAGGGAGTGGCAGAGTTAGGATTTAGACTCCTAACTAAAATAGAGTCAGAGGGACCCAGCTCTACTTTTTCATCCACTCTTTATTGTACTAAATACAAAATTATGTTAGCAAGAGGTAAAGTGAGTTTCTTAACTTTGCAGAATTCAATATTTCTTATTTTTAATCCTCACCTGAGGATATTTTTTGTTGATTTTAGAGAGGGAGGGAGGAAGAGAAACATTGATGTGATAGTTGGAACGAAAGTACCATTTTCCTATTACACTGAGATTTATGATGTTTAAGATATGCCAGACATTAATATGTCATTCTTTTTTTTTTTTTAATCCCCATTCAAGGATATTTTTCCAATGATGTTTAGAGAGAGTGGAAGGGAGGGAGGACGAAGGGGGGAGAGAAAGAGAAACAGACAGACACACACATTGATTAGTTGCCATCAACTAATTGCCATCTACTGGCTGTGTCTTGGAATAATGGAACCTACTTGAGTGTCCTATATTTATTTATTTATTTATTTATTTATCTTCATTGAAGAGACATACCTTAGGAGAATTAAATCTTGTCTGTTTCTATAACAAGCAAGCACTCCTATGACTAGGATGGGAATGTACTAGTTTTGGCCAAAGGACATCAAATACCATTTGTTCTTTGTCATTATCATTCTTGGGTATTCGGAGCATCTTCACACACACAGTCTCATCTAAGCCTACAAGTAGGCAGAACAAGATTAAAAGGCTTGTCTAAAACAACAGAACCAGTACAAGCCAAGTACACTGGAAGCATCGTGGGGAGCATTAGAATTCAGGTCTCTCGGAATTCCAGTTCAGAGGTGTCCGAGCCACCTTCACTATACACACCTTGGTACTGCTTTGGTCACACAGGAAAAGTCGGAAATATTTAAAAACAAAAACAGATGCCAAATTGAACATTTTGTGCTTTTGCTCAAATTTTGACAAATGAATTCAAGTTAATTTCATGCTAAAAGTATATTTTTAAACCACATAAAATATTTTCTAAGGAAATTCGATTTATACACAATTTTATAGAAATGCACATATTGAACAAAGAAAAGTCGACTCATAACTATTCTACCTACCCACTGATTGAATATACTTGTCTGTCCAAACTACAAGAGGGGATTATTAGAAGATGTTGAGACATGAGAGGAAGTAATTTTTTTTTCCCATTAAATTTACATTATCAATGAACTACACATTCACTTTCAGGAAAACTGCATTTACATTATAAACTCAGCCGGTTCTGCTTTCCTTTCCTATGAGGAAATAACATTTCAGAAAAATCAACTGTGAATATTGGTTTCCATTTGGAAGTATACATACCTCACATTTGTGAAGTCAGTGAAATTATTCTTTTTAAGAATGGTTTTTCCAACAGTAACCATGCTCTCAACTATAAAACAGGAAAGAAATTACATTACATTTATAGCAGACATTAAGTTCACTAAAGTGTTATTAATCTTAACTTTGGGGTCCTAATCAAATTTACTTATTCCAGGGGGGTGGGATTAATTCTAAGTGTGCAAGACTGGTACAATATCCGTAAATCAATAAATGTGACACAACACATTAACAGATTGTAAGACAAAAATCACACGATCACATCAATAGATGCAGAAAAAGCTCTGGACAAAATCCAGCACCCATTTTTGATAAAAACTCTCAGCAAAGTGGGAATAGAGGGATCAAGATGACAGAATCATGAAGAATACTGCCATCATCTTACCAAGTCCTATTTGCTCTTTCTTTAGCTCTGTGCAGTTTCCAATATGCTGCTTTGGCACCACAAGATAATGATGAGATGCTGCTGGTTTGATATCTTTAAAGCAAACTAGGTTTTCATCCTAAAGCAAAAACATAACATTTGCTAGTGAGTTTTTTAAAATAATTAACTAATGTGTCCTGGTGAGTGTGGGACAGTGGTTAGTCACTGAAGGGTCATGGGTCCGACTCCCAGTCAAGGACACATACTGGTTTGCAGGTTCAATCCCCAGTCCCAGACAGGAGGCAACTAATCAGTGTTTGCGCCTCTCTCTCTCTCTCTCTCTCTCTCTCTCTCTCTCTCTCTCTCTCTCTCCTCTCTCTCCTCTCTCTCCTCTCTCTCTCTCTCTCTCTCTCTCTCTCTCTCTCTCTCCCCCCCACCCCGCTCCCTTCCCCCTCTCTTCTCCCTCCCTTCCACTCTCTCTAAACATCATTGGAAAAATATCCTTGAATGGGGATTAAAAAAAAAAAAAAAAAAAAAAAGAATGACCTATTAATTTCTGGCATGTCTTAAACATCATAAATCTCAGTCTAATAGGAAAATGGTACTTAATGTACCAACTATCACATCAATGTTTCCCTCCCTCCCTCTCTAAAATCAACAAAAAATATCCTCAAGTGAGGATTAAAAATAAGAAATATTGAATTCTGCAAAGTTAAGAAACTCACTTTACCTCTTGCTAACATAATTTTGTATTTAGTACAATAAAGAGTGGAAGAAAAGTGGAGCTGGGTCCCTCCTGAGTCTATTTTTTTTACGACTACTTTGCAGGGAGACACCTTATTCTTTCTCCCTGTCTGGTCTCCCTGCCTCTTCCTTCCCCTGGGCGCAGTGGTTCTCAACCTGGCTCATGCCGCGACCCTTTAATACAGTTCCTCACGTTGAGGTGACCCCAACCATAACATTATTTTCGCTGCTACTTTATAACTTTGAAAAGGTTGTATCTTTAAAGGCAGGTCGAACCTATCATTCAGAATTGAAGGTCAGATAAAGAGCTTCACAGATAAGAAAAAGCTAAAGGAGTTCATCACGGCCAAACCAGGATTATATGAAATGCTGAAAGGTATTCTTTAAGAAGAGGAAGAAAAAGAAAAAGACAAAGATAAAAATTATGAACAACAAATACGAACCTATCAACAAAAAGTGCCTCGAAAAACCAAGGGAATAAAAAATCTGATGAACAGAATAAACTGGTGAATATAACAGAACCAGGGGCATAGAAAGGGAGCGAACTGATAATTCTTGGGGGAAAGGGGTGTGGGGAGTGGGAACAGACTGGACTAAAATTGTACACCTATGGCCTAAACCGGTTTGGCTCAGTAGGGGGTGTGCAAGAGGCAGCTGATCGATGTTTCTCTCTCATTGATGTTTCTAACTCTCTATCCCTCTCTGTAAAAAAAAAAACAATAAAATATATTTTTTTAAAAATAAAATAAAATTGTACACATATGGATGAGGACAGTGGGGGGAGGGGGGAAGGGCAGAGGGTGGGGTAGGAACCTGGTAGAGGGGAGCTATGGGGGGGGGGGGGGAGAGGAACAACTGTAATAATATGAACTAGGGGTGTCAAACTCAATCAGAGAAGGGGCCAAAATCTAAAATCCAGCCTAAATCGCAGGCCAAATGGTTTACTCAACAGTCATAAACTGTCATTGTGATGGAAACGCAGCGGAGTGCAGTGATGACAGCGCGGTTCGGGCCACATTGCAAGGCCTGACGGGACGGATTTGGCCCGCGGGCCTTGTGTTTGACACATGTGAAGGCTTATTAAATTTAACAAATAATAAAATAAAATGCAAAAAAATAAAATAAAAATAAAGGCAGGTAGCACCGACAGAACTGTGTGCCAGCTGCCTGTTTGGAAAGACCTGGGCAGCACCCAGCGCTCCTCCACGTGACACCTGCCTGACCTCCGACCTTTGACCTCGGCCCCACCTCCCTCCCGTCCACCGAACCACCACCTCCACAGTTACTGTGGCCCGTGGGCCCTGGTCCCGGCCTCGCCTCGGGAGCCTATGAATCTTGTGCAGAACTTAAAAGCGGTGTTTCAACGGCGGGGGTGGGGGCTGCCGCAGCAGAGACCATAAGTGCCATTTTCTGCCCAAAACTTCGGTCCCCGCAGAGACAGGCCCGAGTGCGGGCTTCATCACATCCCCCCCTCCCCACACACACACACCCCGGACCCCACACCCCTCCCCCGCACTACCAGCCAGGGGCCCGGGGAGAAACCCCGGCCTCCGAGGGCCCAGGCCGCCCACCTCGCAGTGCAGGAACTCGGCGTCCTCCCCCTCCACGATCCGGCAGAACACGCACTGGCTGTTGGAGCGCGTTGGCTTTGCGGCGCCCTCGGCGGTGGCCGAGGGAGACCCCGTAGGTTGTGCGGCGGTCCCACCGCCGCTCACTCCGCCGGAGCCACTGGGCGCGTCGTCGGCCATGGCGCCTGCCCCCGCGGCCCAGCGCCTCGCCTCCTCCGGGACCAGGGGGCTCGGCCGACCGAGCCGCCTCCGGCACCTGCGCGGCTTCACCTCCAGGCGTCGCCGCGGGCCTGGCGCTGGGCGGAGCTGCGTCGGACGCGGGCGGGAGGGCGGCCCGGTGCGGGGCCTCCCTGGCAGCGCCCGGCCTCGAAGCCACGGCCACGAGGGGGCGCGCGAGTACGACCAGGACTCTACTGGGCGGAGCCCGCGGCGGGGTGGCCCCGCCCCTGCGTCTCCTAGGTAATGACGCACGACGTCCGCCCAGACGCAGGAGCCCTCCTGGCGTCCCGTCGACTCTCCAGCGCGTCCTAAGGCCCCGCCCAGGGAGACCTGTTAGGGATCCTACCAGTGGTCGGCAAACTGCGGCTCCCGAGCCACATGCGACTGTTTGATGCGACTGTTTGATAAGGTGGGACCAGACGTCCCACCAAGTCCCGATTTTTAACAATTTGTCCCGCGTCCCGGGGTCAAGGGTCAAATTGTAAAAAATCGGGAGGTCTGGTCACCTTACTCTTTTGACCCCTTGAGTGTGGCTCTTCCACAAAATACCACAGCCTGGGCGAGTTTATTTTGAAGAAGTGGCATTAGAAGAAGTTTAGGTTTAAAAAATTTGGCTCTCAAAAGACATCTCAATCATTGTACTGTTGACATTTGGCTCTGTGGACTAATGAGTTTGCCGACCACTGTGACCTTCTTTCCACAAACCCTCTGCTAGGAAAGACCCCAGAGTGCATTACCCTGTCTTAAAAACAAAGGCTTTCAAAACCTGTAGGTCTTAAGAGGATGAACAAAATCCCTAGAGCTTTCTTTTCCGTGTAGATCACTTTGATGCTTTTGCATGCATAGTCAGCCTAGTCACTGTAGGTGATTAAGCTGAAACTGTCCGAAATGGGACTTCACCTCTTTGCTTTCGGTTATGTTAACAGCATCCGCTAACTCAAAGAGCCGTCCGAGCTCACATTCCCATTCACAGAGTCCTGTAGGTTATGGTCTGAAATATCAAATTCACTGCCGATGCCTCATGATGCCGCACCTCGACCACTGCAATAGCCTTCTGAAATCATAGTTTCTCTCCACGATTCTCCTGTTACTCAAACAAAAACCCTTTAGTAACTATCGCACCCCTCTTCCCCGCAAAAAGTATCAGTTCCTTAGCTTGGTATTCAAGGTGGCTCTGATTTGACCTCAACGTTTGATTTCATAATACTTGGCTTTTTGGTGAACACCCAAAGTGTGGCATGTATCTCTCTAATCCTTAAAACAAGCGAGGCTGGCTTTATCATTCGCACTACTGAGATGCAGAAACAAACTTGGGCTTGTCCGACATTAAACGCAACTAGTCATTGATAAGTGACAGGGTTCAAGTAAAGGTTTTTCCAACCCCAACACCCACCTGGCTTTCTGAACACAACTTTTTTTACTTATTTTTTTAAGCTGAAGTCCCCGAAAACGGTTTGGCTCAGTGGATAGAGCGTCGGTCTGCAGACTGAAAGGTCTGCGGACTGAAAGGTCCCAGGTTCAATTCTGGTCAAGTGCATGTACATTGGTTGTGGGCACATCCCCAGTAGGGGGTGTGCAGGAGGCAGCTGGTCAATGTTTCTAGTTCACTATCCCTCTCCCTTCCTTCTGTAAAAAATCAATAAAATATAAAAATAAAAAATAAAAAACACTGAAGTTTTTCTTAGGCTAGATCATGATAGTCGTTTTTTCCTGGGGATTTGTTGATTTAGAAAATAAAGTCCTATTAGTAAATTTAGCAATGTTTCTGAATGAATGTATGTTGCATTAATCAAAAGCATTTATAGATTGAAAGTAATTGTAGGTTCAAGACAATTTCATTCCTTTTGCAGTTTGCCAGTGGTTTTTTGGGGACAACAATAATAACTTCATAGCTCCTTAAGAGCCCAAGGCAGGGTTCAGAATCAGTGCATTACTTTGTTCAATGTAAATATTCACTATTTCCATGCATGGAGTACACCTTCACACGTGCTTTTATCCACGCACGCTGTTCTCTCTGTTTGAGATATTGTTTCCATCTCTGTACATCAAATTCCACCTTCAAAGCCACTCCTCAAATGCTATCTCCTTCCTGAAGTTTTCTTTATCCAAACTGAAAAATAGTACTTCCTCTTATGAATTCACACAGCATTTATTTTTTTATTGCATTTCTTACAGAGTGGAAGAGAGAGGGATAGAGAGTTAGAAACATCAATGAGAGAAAAACATTGGTCAGCTGCCTCCTGCACACTTCCTACTGGGGATGTGCTGGCAACCAAGATACATGCCCTTGATTGGAATCGAATCTGGGACCTTTCCGTCCGCAGGCTGATGCTCTATCCACTGAGCCAAACCGAGTAGGGCCACACAGCAATTTTTAATACTTGTCTGGTAGAACTTATCATTTTGTATTACAAACTATTTATGCACATTGTAAGTTATGTTCCTTAATAAAAAGAACAAGTGTCTTTGAATCTCCCATAATGCCTGGTACAGAGCTTTGCATGGAGGTAGACACTTAACCATTGTCTAATGAACAAAAGAATGATTAGGAATAAGATTACTGTGTAAGAGTGTTCAGTTTGCACACTGTACAAGAACAGCACATATAAGAATGTGCTACTTGACATCATTGGCAAACATTAACTTTTATAAAAGCACAAGCAAGCCTGGAGATTCCAGCCTCCTGATCAAGTCCTGGAGAAGGGAAGGGAGATGACTCCTACAAAAACCCACATTAGATGTATATGCCCCCCCACACACACACACACAACATTCACCTACATCCTGTCACACACACCTACACAAGTTATACTTGTCCTGACTTCATTTCTTACGAAACCTGCAGTTGCTTCTCTCACTCACTGGGCACTTCCAAAGACTTGCTTTCCATTCCCCAACGTTGAAATGGATATAATTGCCTACCTTGCAGTGGGAGGAGCAACACAAAGTATTTGTAAATTGTCTGGAGTGAGTGGGAAACGGCAAAAGTATCGGCAGCCGCGTTCACATAGGCAGAGCTGCCACAAGTGGTGCTCTGGATAGCTCTGCTGGGCAACAGCTGCTCCCGTTGCATGACAACAAATTCAATGTACTTGCAAAATGGAGGGCTGTTTTCTAATTGTATAAGAGCACCCTCTGGGCTGGCAGCAGCCCTGCTTCTGAGCAGGTTATGGAGTCGGAGAACTCTACAGCTTACCATCTGTGAACACTTGAGCTAAGTTATTTCTCTTTCTGTGCTGAGAATTTCTGTTTCTTCACCTATAAAATGTTGACAATAATGCTTAATGCAAACCCTGTTGTGAGAATGAAAGCCTGGAAGCCTAGCACAAAGCTCTCAAAAAATCTGAACGATTAGTACCCATGGATAGTGATAGTATGTAAAACAATTTAAGTGATCCGATCATTCACTTTCATTTAAATACAGAGCTTTAATGCTCCTAAGACAGAGACGGGGTTGTGCTTTAAATATATATGTTGATTTCATAGAGGAAGGAAAAAGGAGAGAGAAACATCAATGATGAGAGAGAATCATTGATCAGCTGCCTCCTGCACGCCCCACACTTGGGATCAAGCCCACACCTCAGGGACACGCCCTCACCGGGAATTGAACCGTGACTTCTGGTTCATAGGTTGACTCTCAAGCACTGAGCCACACCAGCTGGGCTGGACTGCGCTTTTGTAATGACATTGCAAAAACTGACAGTCGGACACCCCCCGAGGGTCCTGGATTGGAGAGAGTGCAGGCTGGGCTGAGGGGAACCCTCCCTACCCAGTGCACAAATTTCATGCACAGGGCCTCTCATTTAATATATACAACTTGTTTCTCCTCTGCTCAACATTCTCCAATGGTTCCTTACCTCACTGATAGTAAAAGGTCAAGAAACTTACCAGAAGTTTCTACATTATATGCCATCTCCCTACATTTTGACATCAGCTACCAGCAGTATTTTCATCCCTTTCTCTGCTCCAGCCACCCTAGACTCGTTGTTACTTGTGCCAGGCAGGCATGGTCCTACGTTTGTGCCTCTGCACTGGCTGTCCCTCTGCCTGGAACACACTTTCTACTATTAGTCGTGGAGATCATGCCTCTCACATCCTTCAAGTCTTTACCCAAATGTTGTTCCCCAATGGGATCAACTCTGGCCTCCCTGGCAACCTACTGCTTACTTGTGCTCTCCACTCTCCCTCCCCCTCTTCTTTGTTTTATTATCTCCAGTGTACCCATTGCCTTCTAGATATTTAAATGTAAATATTATATAGTAATAGTATTATATATAAGTATTTATAAATGCTTAATATGTAACTTACTATGATTATTGTCTGTTTCTCCTCACTGACTGTAATCTCAACAGAAATTTTCATCACTTTTGTCTATTATTCGTTCATATAGTGTGAGGTACTGGATTTAATCAAGAGCAATGCAAAGGTTCTTGATCTGAAAATCGGAAGGTTGAAGCTAATGTTTGCTACAATGGGGAACTCCTGAAGGAGGAGGGCTGGGGCAGGGAGGACCAGGCATTTAGTTGTGGGTGTATTAAACTGAGATGCCATATCAGTCTGTTTAGACCAAGTATTTTTGCAGTAATAACTCCAAAAAATTTTTAATATATTTTTATTTATTTCAGAGAAGAAGGGATAGGAAGAGAGAGATAGAAACATCAACGATGAGAATCATTGATCAGCTTCCCTCTACCATGCCCCACCCCAGAGATCGAGCCCACAACCCAAGGGTGTACCCTTGACAGGAATCGAACCCAAGACCCTTCAGTCGCAGGCTGATGTCCTCTTCATCAAGCCAAACCGGCTAGGGCAACTCCAAAAATCTTAATGCTTTGAAACAAAAAGGTTATTTCTTGCTCATATTTGTATCCATAGCAAGTTGGCTCCAGCCAAGTAGACTTCATCCCATGACTCAGGCTGAAGGATCAGGGATGTTTCTGGTATTAGAACAGAGGGAAGAGAGAGCACATAGAGCCACATGATGACCCTTAAGGCTTCTCAGAATTGGCACGTCACTTCAAATCACATGTCACTGACCAAAGCAAGACACCCGCCAATCCTGACATCAACAGAGGATTAAATGTAATCCTAAATC